TAGAGGAAACGAATTCTCTCCACGATGACTTCTTACTATCTTTAATAGTTCTATTTGCAATTGCTCGAAGTCTCTTAAATTCAACTGCGTCATTGAAACTCCTACTTCTTTTGTACCTGTTGAAAGCCCGCTTTTTTGCTTTCACTGCTTCCTGACATCTTTCGTTCCACCATGGAACTCTTTTCTTAAGGAGACCATTACTTGTGATTGGAATGTTGTCGTAGGCTGCTTGCAGAATAATATTATTCAAATTCGCTACCTGAAGATCTATGTTATTAGCTGTTCTTTCTAGATTATCCTTGGCCAATATAATTGATTTCTGAAAAGATTCCCAATCAGCTGCCTCATACTTCCAGTGTCGCTTTATATTTTGTGGAAGAGACGGCCCATTAACCTGTATAACGATGGGGAAATGGTCGCTTCCATATAAGTGGGTTTTAGTTCTCCAGATGCATTTGGGGGCCAATCTGACGTCCGCGATGCTTAAGTCAATGGCAGAGAGACTATTACTTCCTGAGCCGAAGTGTGTAAATGAACCGGTATTAAGAAGAGTAGCAGTGCTGCTAAATTCTAAAAATTTAATAACGCTGTGTCCTCTATGTCCAATGTCTGGTAGTGGGGAGCCCCAAAGAAAACTATTTGCGTTAAAATCCCCCAAAAGAAGATACGGCCTTGGTAGCTGATTAACAATGTGTTCAATGTCATCCTTTGAGAAATCGACAGCGGATGGTATGTAAATGTTACAAATTGTCAGGGGTTCAGCTCCTTTGATTACTGTTGCGACTGTTTCTATGTGTGTGTCTAAATTTAATTCCTCGGAGAATAAGTCAGCCCTCACAAGGGTTAAAACACCACCCCAAGATCTCCCTGCTCCTTGTCTATCCCTTCTGTAGGCTCGATATCCTTTGACATTTAAGACATGTTTTTCATTCAAGTGGGTTTCTTGTATGCAACAGCACAGTGGAGTTTCTTCATTCATTAATTTCTGAAAAAATTCTAAATGGCGAAATAACCCATTACAATTCCACTGAACTATTTGCTCCATGGAGTTAAACATTTTTTTATTTTTTGGCCTGAAGATCAACACTAGAAAGCGTTGAATCGTCAGAGTCTGAAAATAGTTCTGTGTTGGGACTAGAAACAGTACCACTTAGTTCTTTAATAATTTTTGATACTCTAATCTTCATTCCTCTGTTGGGTAACTTGTGCCTTACATCAGTCAGCATAGTTTTCAATCCATCGATATTTTTTGTAAACTGTGTGGCAAGTTGTTTGATGTTACTGGCTTTTTCATTATGAGCCATCTCAAGAAAGAGGCATAATTTTGAGTAAGCTAAGGGATATTTGTGGTCATTTGTGACTAAAATACGAATTGGTTCTAACATTTCCTTCATTGTTTGATTGTTGTTTTTTCGTTTTGCCATAGGAACTAATGTTTTCGTTATTTTATTACTTTTGTTCAATATTTTTTCTTGTTTTATACTCTCGGTTTGTTTATTTTTTAGTTTGCCTGTTTTTAATGAGGTTATACTGAAAGGAATCTCAGTTGGAGTAGCAGACATATGTTCTGTGATTACTGTTCTTAGGTTAGTTTTATTTTTAGTGTTACTTTGTTGTGTATTTTGGATTGTTGCACTGTGTTGTGAATCTTCCGATTTAGCAGGGCATGGGTTTGCTACAGGGCCATCTTTACTCAGGATTGTAAAATCGAGATGCTGAGAGATATTTGTATTATTGTCATTTGTGGTAAACGAAGTGTTTTCTCCCCTGTCCTCCATCAGCTCTTCGTGGGCTTCAACCAAACTGTTAACGGCTGACGGCAAAACGGCCAAGTTATTGGCCTCATCGGGATTTTTAACTTCGCTGAGTGGACAATTTTTGCTTATATGTCCCTCTTCGTGGCAAGAAAAGCATCTAACTTCGTCACCATCTAGGAACAACCTATAGGTATCTCCTTCGAATTCCACGAGAAAGTTAGCAGGTAAAGTAGGTAGTGTATCCGGTTGTGCAAATGCGTGTCTTCTGGAGCTAAGGATATGCTCATACCCGGGTATTTTGATCCCTGCGCGAAGGTAATTTACTGCCGAGTATAGCTTGATACCTATCTCTTTTAACTTATTTTCTATTAGAATACTGGGGAGATATGGAGGGACATTGGATATGACAATTCTTTTTGATTGTACAATAAGGGGGCGTGCTGGAATGAAATTACCATCGACTGTAATACCCTTGTGTACTTGAAGGAAGTCTAATACATGCTGTTTGTTTGACAGAAACAAAACGATTCGGTTATTAGAGATCTTAGAAGAAAAAATTATATTACCTGGTAATTATTACCTGGTATTAGTAAATATATTTACTACACTATTTATATATATTTTTTACTAGCCACTTTAATGAAACGTTATTTAAATGCATTTAGAAATTGATTTAAATAACAGATGTATTTTCTTCTGTTTTCCTATTTATTTTTTTTCTCTACAAGATATTTTTCGAATATTTTGTATCATTTCTCATCTGTTTTGGATATAGTTTCTTTTTTTTTTTTTTTTTTTGTTTTGTACATATTGTCAATTTACTGAAGGTTTTTCTTTTTCAATTATGGGAGACTGATATTGTAGAGTGCTCAGTTAATAATCCCTTTCTATTCATTTTTTTTTTCCTTGCGGAGTTTATTTTTTTGATATTTTAATAGGAAACTTTATTTGTTTTGAATATCACTAGAATATTTAATGCGTACTTTTTATTCTCATTTCATTTAATGTCTTAAACTTTTGGGACAAAATTATTATTTTATTTTTGTATACATATATATAAATTTTTATTATTTATAATAAGTTAACGTAATCGAATGCAATTAATAACTATGCTGTGAATTTATCAATCCAATATAATTGTGCAGTAATCTTATAATCTTATATGAAATAAAGTGTTTCTCTCTCAGAACGGGATAATGTACTGTCCTAAAAAATAACAATCATGAAATTCTTCATTGCAATCCTAATCGAAATTCTTTTATTACGGTGTATGGTGGAGTAATACAATGTAGATGTTTCAATTTAAAAACATTATAATTTGCTACTTCAATCTTGAACAAATTTGTCTAATGATAACATCTAACGTCATATTTGATTGAATGTTCGCCAATGATTAGGTATGCGGAACAGGTGCCTTATAAATGTAAACAGGTGAGCATGTGTCATATCTGTAGGGTGTGTGATGTCATTGTTTAGTTGTTGTTTTCTTCTTTTTCTTCGGAATTTCATCAAACAAAATAACTCATGTTTTTCAGTGACAAACAAGCTCAATTTGGTAAAAAAAACCAAGCGAAGGTATAAAGCAAAATTAAAAATTAAATAAATACTCTACCGCGATTTCCATCCACACCATACTAATTATTATTTCAGAATCCGAACATTTTTGAACGAGTGTAGCCCAAATGCTAGACCAAGACGCCCAATCTTGGTTTTGCGCACTCAGTCATGGTCTTGGTTTTGCGCAAGTCTCGCAACAGTCTTGCAGTTACCTATTAGCTTATTTCTCTAGAGATATTACTGGATTTTTTCAGATATATAAAACCTAACTTATAGTCACTAAAAATTTTAAGTACTAGTAACTATTTTCCCTTAATTTTTATTCACAAAAACAATTTTTTTTTTGTAGTTGTATTTTTTTATATGTTCATTTGTAGAAAGTTTGGAGAGAGAATGGCAATGGTCCATATTTTTGACAGTTGTGCCTTTTGCATCAAAGAATTAAACAAAGGAGGAATAGGGTTTGGTGAAATGATGAAAAAAACCAGAATATATAAAATCATATATTTTCTCGCTGAAGAAGGAATCTTTAAAAATCTGAACCTCTCGAGGAGCACTCCCCCACCCATTTTTTTTTTTAACTGAACGTGCTAATTTGAAATAACTAAACTTTAATAACTGTTTAGGGAACACATGAAACTACCGATTTAAATGCAATTTAAATTAAATCAAGAAACAAAACACAGCTGTTATCTCGAGTATACTACCTATATACCTCAGATGTTATTGTGACTCCGCCATTACTGCAGCGCGAGAGATTCACTAGACTGGCCAGTTTGAAAATTTGTTTTTCCACTGATTTGCTGAATATGGAGTAAAAAACTACATCACCCGGCAGAGGGCCAAGAAAGAGAGAGAAGATGAACAAGAAGACTGGGAAATAGAAGAAAAGAGAAAATGCATGTATCCCAACCCACCTATATTTAACCTCTGTATAAAATTAAATGTTAATATATATATTAAATAAAGCAATTAATTTTACATATTCACTTTTTTAGTCCATTAACTTCTCTAAGTTTACAGTCCACAGCAATAAATTATCACCAGCTCTTAAACCAGAATTATTATGACAATATCCCTGACAGCCTTGAAAGGGATTGGAATTGTGTATTAAACAATAACCTTAAATAACTTTAAAATTAACTTGCATTTTACGTGTTTTTAATTTAATTTTATTCCTATTATTCACAACCAGAAGATATAATTATATATAATCTTCATTAACGGTGTTGATAACCAACAGATTTTACGTCTTTACTATACAATTATGGGAGTGGAGTAGCTCAGTGGTAGGGCACTGAGCTTCCAATGCAAAGGTCCCAGGTTTGAACCCCGGCTCATGGCAGAAAAATTATTTATCTGTTTCATTGGTCGTGGGGCGACCCTGGGTCGGAAGACCCTCCTAGGGCACACCCAGCCTCTATAAAGTGGGTACCCTTAATTAAATAATTAATTAAGGGAGAAAACCTGGCGGTTGAGCATGATCTCGGTCAAATCACCTCTTTGCACAACCGTTGACCTAAAACAGTGTTTTCCCTAAACATTACTCAACCCCAGGCCCTTTATGGGTTGTAGTGGTACAGGTTTTTTTTTTTTATACAATAACCAACCAACAAAACCAATTTTAAAAATAAAAGTATAAAAGCAAAACTATTTGTTGCAAATTATTAATTAACTGTTACTGAAATTGGCATATGTTATAATAAGTATAATTGGGAATCCCTTCTCATTCGAAAGCTTAATTTGAGCATATCTATGCGGATAGATTATGCGGTTTGGCTGAAGCATCGAAGGCAGTGCCTGTGTTTGGGGAAAACATCCCATCAATGATGATAAAGCACAAAAATAAACTGTGTACGTGACCCGGCACGAGCGGCGGCCCTCGCTGACTCACTCCGTCAACTCCCTTGTTAAAGAGGAAATTTCCAACACAGCTCTTCATCATGGCGATATCAGGGCCGTGCATTTCAATGCAACACAATCATAATAGGAATTGAAGCAATCAATATGAGTTTTGCAATTCACGTGTTCATTCATACAATACATTCGTAAGAAAGAGAAATAAACATAAATAATTAATTAAATAAAATGATGATAAATAGTAACGATCATGATAACCGGTATATAAATAGGCATCATCAAAAATATATCATCAAACTGAATGATTAAATTAAGTAGAGACTAACCACAGACAAATAAGAGACTGTTGGATACATCAAGTAATTAATTATGACGTGAACCAAATCAAAGAGATGAAACAATTCGTAATTCACCTGGAACAAAGCCAGCATTAGATGTCCGGCTAATACAAAAATAGATTTGGAATCAAAATTTTGTTACATGAATTTACTAAGGCGGAATTTATTTATTTTTTTTCTTAAGTAACTTCTTTAGACGAGTTTTGCACTTTTTTGTTGAGAGTGAATCAGATTGATCCGTCAGATTTAACGCTCGGGTAAAGGATGGAGTCGACTAATTGAAATGACTTTACATATGGTTTAAAATATCTCAGGAACTAAAAATCGGGCCTGCATACTGTAAGCGAGAGAAATGTTCAGAATTTCATCCTCTATGTAATAAGCTATAATTGTATCTTAACGCGATGCCGTGTTAGGCAGACGAAAAAGAAAAAATAGTGTCGAAAACCAAATGATAACGAGGTTGAATATATGGATTAAAATATTTCAGATACTAAAAATCGGATCTGTATAATGTAAGAGAAAGAAATGTTCAGCACTTCAACCTCTTTATAATGAGCTATTATTTATAATTTATATTTTATAGTATTAATCTCGTCTTGTAGATGTTTTCACTTCTATCGTGTGGTCTTGAGCATACACCTTAGTTTTTTTTATTATCCTTCTTTATTTGAACTTTATTTAAACAAATGTGGACTTTATTGGTACTTTTCTTTATTAGGATAAAGAACAAATAACGACGAGGTGGTTGAGATATTACTACTTTTAATACCGGATTGGTTCAACAAATCTTATTTATAAAAATAATTAGAAAAAAAAAAACAGAAACTTGAATATCTTTTGAAATCCTGAACAACACTTACTTATGGCTAATTCCCTTTGATTTGTACCCAGAAACCAACATATCAGCCGTGAGGAAAGGGAAATATGTGCGAGCAAAGCAAGGCACTTCTTTTATACGGTATGCTTGTGCTCACAATGGTTTGGGAACTGTGTAAACACGGCTTTAGGAGTCAAAGGTAAAATATACACATAATGATGTAGAGATGGTTGACCGTTAATATAATATGAGAAGGAGTTCGCCGAGGGTGCGGTCAAATAAAAAAAAAAAAAAAAAATTAAAATATATAAATTATTTTAATTTTTGCCGACGTTTCGACCCACTTTGCAGGTCGTCTTCAGGGCGTAAGTTGTGGTACTGCGGGAGGCAGTTGACTGCCAGTGTTTCAACTGCCTCCCGCAGTACCACAAATTACGCCCTGAAGACGACCTGCAAAGTGGGTCGAAACGTCGGCAAAAATTAAAATAATTTATATATTTTAATTTTTTTTATTTATTTGACCGCACCCTCGACGAACTCCTTCTCAGGTAAAATATATAGTATATATACAGTGATCCAGCAATAGTTTTCAAACATGGACTGATTGAAATTAAAACTGAAATAGATACAAACGATATTTGTTCATATACATAATTTAAACGGAAAAGTAAATTTAAATACTGTTAGTATAATACTGAGAGAGATGTATAATAGGTATGCAAAATCTTAAAAATCTAGGAAAAAGCATACAAAAATATAGTAGAAAAAATATATTTTACTAATACCAACTGGATTAACAAATTGTCATCCCTCTTACTCATTTTGAATAGGCTGTGGAAATGTGTGAAACTTTTAAAAACTTCGGCACATTCATTTCATCTTAAGTGGACCACAAGAGTCGTTGAAATGTTACAGATGTTACACATACATTTGTACCCCGTATTTGTAATACATAATATTTGTAATGTAATGTATTTGTAATGTATATATGTACATATATATATATATATATATATATATATAATATATATATATATATATATATATATATATATATATATACATTAAATCCGAATTATTACCAGACAAATGTTGAAGTGTTCAGTGACTTATAATAGGTCTGCATAAGATGTTTGTAAATTGAAGATTTTTTTTTTATACATATTGAATTTTAAAGTCAATAACTAAGCACTAGCCCAAGTTTCTTGAGTAGATGTAGCGATTTAAGATCCTGCGGAGCTAAGTGCACTGTGCTCTTTGTCCATCTCCTTCTCACTCCAACTTACTATTAGCATTCCAAGCACTGGGTGGCATTCCTAGCGAGCGTCGCATTTCTTACGTGGTCTCTCTATTTCTAAATATTAATTATATCCACATAACCTTATTAGATTTCTTGTAAGTAAATAGTGTTTGATAATTTTCGATTATCCATCGAATGCCGTTGAAAAATGAATTCGCTAAAAATTATTAGCTAATTAATTTTAAACGTTAATATCTATTTTCTTATCAGCAGAACAGTAAGATGTTGACAGGACTAAGAAGGTAAGGTCGATTTTAGACTTTTACAAGCTAAAAATTAAAAAAAAAAAAAAAATATCCAGAAACATTTGGCTTTTATTTATCCAGTTTATCTAATTTATCTACGAAGACAGGGTTGTTCTGTCATCTAAAGTTATTAATATGATTTGAAAGGTCTCATTAAATCGGTTTTAGTAAATGACAGCAAAATACGACAAAATTTATATTTTTAAACGAATTAAATTAATTTGTTTTTATTAATTAATTGTCCACCTGGAGTTATACGATTCAGCCAAATCAAAGCGAGGACGATTCAAAATTGTGTTCATTGAAAAGAAGTAACCAAGAAGTAAAAACTCCATTATTGAAGACGTTTCAAGCCAAAATGAAACAACATGCCCTCTGATGTCAATACAAGTTGTCTGCCGAAAGTAGGAGTGGGCGGTGTAAAAGCAGAAAAAATTCAAAATAATTTTAAATTGTTTCTTAACCTTTTACTGGTCCTTTTGAGTTCTAAAATGTCCAATATCGTTGCATGTATAAATATTTAGCTTTGGATTGCCATACTCATTGAATCAGTTACAATGACTGATTTTTGGTGGTTGTCAGCTTGGCAAATCAAAATCGCTTCCTTTGATTGAGCAGGCATCGGGTAATCGGTAAAGACAAGTTTCGCTTTCTTTAATCACCTCGCATAATACTATAGAGTTCTCGCATTTCGAAGCATCTGTGTACAATACTTCGAATTCTTTAAATTCTTCTAAAAGTTTCTTTTTATTATATTTGTTTATTTAGAAATATTACATTCTGTCACATCAAGGACATTTATAATAGTGTTCAGAGAAAGCACACTCACACTCTATTTACAAAAAAAAAAAAAAAAAAATAATACAGAAACAAAAAAAAAAATAATACAGAAACAAAAAAAAATAATACAGAAACTCTTCTAAAAGTAATACGATTTTTTTTTTTAATTTCCGCTGGACATATCGAGATTTTGGAAACTTTCGATAATGATATATTTATATCATGGTGACACCAAGGAGGTTTGTTACTGTTTGTAATCTATTGTATACAATGAAATTTCGTATTATAGTCCAGGGATGGAATTGTTTAATAATTCTTCGATCCATCTAAATTATATATTCTGATGTATTTCCTCCGCATGGATTCAATGGGTGCTTCGGAAGTAATGCCAATTTCGCAATATACTTACCAAAGAGCTACGACCTTCTTGTTTTCAGGGAAGGCTCTGTGTTTTCAATATATATACTTTTCACTGGAGAAGTTCTATACCCTCCAGTACATATATTCAGTGTAGGGTTGTGTACAACATCCAGAATCTTGAGAACAGATGTATTGGCAGAACCGTAAATGATTGAGCCACAATTCATCTTACTTCTTACCGTAGCCATATAGATTCTCAATAGGGACAGTCTGTCAGCTCCCTAACTTGAGTACGAAAGGCACTTGAGCAGTCTTAACCCTTTTGAGCAACCACCATGTTTGGTATGGTTGTTCCAAGTTAATCGTTTGTCTAGATACATGCCTAAGTGTTTCCGTTTCTCTACAAATGATATGTTGTTTGATCCCAACCATAAACGAGGGTTGTGCATGCAACCTCTCAAGCGGAATATATGCATAGCATTTGTTCTGGATGCCGAAATGACAAAACCGCTACTTCTCGACCATTCCTTTGCTTTGTTTAAAGCTTCTTGAATCATTCATTCGATGAAATCAATCAATTAACTGCGGATAAATAACAGGATATCATCTGCGAACAAAACAACTTTCGTTGGTTTTTCAATAAACGTTGCTAATTCATTAATAGCGATTAAGAACAATGCAACACTAAATGGAGATCCTTGTGGGGTACCGTTTCTCAGCTTGTGGGTTGCAGAGTATGAGCTTCCGATTTTAACGAAGAATTTCCTATCGTGCAGGCAGTTGTTATTTTGATTAGTTTAGTATATTTTTGTTTATATACATTTCTTGTAGTATTATTATCTTGCTGTTTACTTTATTTTTATTTATCGAACATAGGGTTTGAGTGAGTTACTTTATCACTATTGCTAGTGTTCTTGGATGTGACAGAATGTAGTATTTAAAAAAAAAATATATATATATATATATATATATATATATATATATATATATATATATATAATTCCGATTATACAACTTTCACGCTTTTTTAATGAAATATATAAAGCGTTAATGGAGCACGGTCTCTGGAGATTTATTCATTTTCCGTCGGTTCTATATTGTTCATAAAACAAAAAAATCAAAACGCCATCGATAATATTTACTGTTGAGCCAGTGATTATTAATCAATTTAAAATGAGGGAATAAAATATAGAAAAGACACGACTTCAAGCACTAAAGAATGTTGTTTCTTTTATAATGGCATGGATAAATGTTTTTTGAGCCTTGCTATTAAGTTAACAAAGCTTGTATTGAAATTTTGTGTTGAAGGTTAGGTATCGTTGGAGGCACGCT